GACTAATTGTATCGATTGAATGATTGATGCAATTCTCCTTCTTTTTCTTCTTCACGATCGATTCTCTCACTCGGGAATTGAAAGCAGAGAACAAGAAAAGGACAAGGGAGGAGAAATATACAAACGTTGATGTGTATAGTCAACCACCGATTGGAAACAGAGGAAGATGGGTGGTCGTTGTTTAGAGATAAGTGGTGCAGTGATGTGGGAGAGCTATTTGCGTATAAAAATAAAGATAATTATTAGTTTTTAATTAACTGGATTCCCACTCCCAAAACCATGAAATTAAATCTTGCTTTAGAAAAGTCCAATTAATTCGACTATGCTAATTCAGTAATCCTAATGGTTTTTAATAGATATTCTCCTCATACAATATTTAATGGAATTTCTTCACAAGTTCATCAAAATGTAATGTAAAAAAATAAATATTTACTATATTTTAAGCATCATAATTAATATATATTGAAAAAATAATATAATTATCCACGCTCTCTTCACGCTCTCGATATTGAATTCTTAAGAAATAGCCGCTCTCGCGCTCTCGCTCCCGCTCCCGCTCTCGCTCTCGCTCCACGAACTGGTTACCTAAGGTGCACCCACCCAATAGAGATTTGCCACCTATAAAATCCATATTAATTAGTTAAAATATTTAGGATTAACTTGCGGTAATTATATTTAAGTTTCTCTTTCTTCATTTATTCACCGATCTAAATCATCTTCTTTCTTCTTCTAGTTTCCTATAGTTCTTCTGGTTAGAGCAGCTGCATCGCCTTTCATTGCGCAATTCCATTGTGACATGGCATCTGCCTTTCTCCATTTCACGGTTGTAGCCCTGTCTTCAAATAATGGAAGCTGTCACTTAATGAAATAGAAAATGAAATTGCAAGGGGTAGATGTGGGCCCTTTCCCACGGTTTTGCCTCATTTTTTTTTCTTTTTCATTTCTTTTAGATAAAATGTAGAGTTGTATACTTGTATTAAAAATATAATCAATTGGGCCCACCAAATGAAATAGAAAGTGGATGTCATTGATGTAGAGGAAATGAAATTGGTATGAAGTGAAATGAGAAAAGTTGTTGATATGGCAGTAGGGACCACATATGAAATAGAAATGGTATTTCATGGATGTGGATGGTTTTAGCTCCTTTTTATTTATTCATTAATCTAAATCACCAATAGCCAAAAGTATCCTTTTCCATGAAACAAAAAAAAGTCATTAACCCAAGCATAGTTATTAGTTAGTAAATACTATGTTTAATACGTGTATACACGTACGTATTTATCCGTTAAAAACTTCTATATCCGTATTATTGTCAAGCCGATTCTTTTGTTTTTTCGTTCATTTGATGGCTCCCGTACTGAAGATGTATAAAACCCGTATAACACATTTAATATCCGTAATTAATGAATTAAATTGTTAATTTTGCTATTATATATATATATATATATTTAAAATAATTAATTTTATGGTTTTATGACTATTAACATACTATTAAACGTAACATTAACTTAGAGACGAAGTAAAACATCCGTATGTATTTTATACGTAACTTTACTGTGTCGTATTTTACTAACTATGAACCCAAGTCTTTTAAGGGAGCTTTGAGAATTAAAGTTCCACTGACAATGGCTTTTGTATTGATTGAGCAAAAAATTCCACTAGAATGGTGTTTGCAATCTTTTGTCACAGACGTTGACGTAGTCAGGATTCCGTTTATGTTTTATGTTGACTAGTATTTTTATTTTCTGAAAATACTCTAAAAGTAAAATAGCATATTATATGTCTTTTATGTTATAGAGCACGAAACGGGACTAACAATTGTTAACCAACGGTTCTATAATGGGTCAACCCTGAATAATAAAGTACCGACTTTCGAGTTCAACATGGGTTCGATTCTGAAAACAAATGCTTTAACCTTGCGCAAACTAGACTGGATCGTATATTATAAATGACAAAACTATTTCGTATATTTTATTAGAGTTTGATGGTTGGAAAATTTATACATACTATAACTTCTGGGGAAAAAATATTTGATGGAGATTCACCATAGTAGTTGTTCTACTATATAAGAGAGTGTTCTAGAGCAGAATAACATATATATAATGGTTTCCTTCATAAAAAATAAACGGGTTAATTGCATGGTTGGTCACTGAGATTACAAAAAACGTTCAAGTTTGGTCACTCGAAATATTTAAATCCATTGGTGGTACTTCAGTTTACTGAAACCATTCACATTTGGTCACTCTCCGTCCAACTCCGTTAACTTTTGCTTACGTGGCAGTCAACTCTAAAATTTGACCGTTAAATGTGTGACGTGACAATTTATAAATAATAAACTTTTTAAAATTAAATTTTTTAAAATTGTCATCTCATTTCTACCTCATTATCACTTTTATTTAAAATAAAATGAAACCCTAATTTCTTCTAATCCCCAATACCTATACCCGGCCGGCAGCATACCCTCACCATCGCTGCCGCTTCCATTGTTGGGCTTCCTTTAACCCTCCACCTCAAGCGCTTGACCAAACAAGATTCTCCCTAGTCATAATATGGTCGAAGAAGATTTGCAGGAGCTCAGAAATTTTGGGAGCGGCCGCTTGTTTATCTGAGTTGAGGAGTAGGGGATTTGATTGGTGCCCGGATCCATCGGCATTACCAACCTAGGATCCACCATTAAGCTTAGCTTTTCTTCTTTTTTATTTTCACCACCTCATATTCTTACACTGAAAAAGCAGTTGTTTCACTCATTCGAGCTTTGTGGCAGATAGATTTGCCAGAGAGCAAACTCTTGTCTTCTGCTTGTCAGTTCCCTCCTTCAAGCACTGTTGATGCTCTTTCTTTTCCCACTTCTCCTTCCATTTTCTACCCACGGTTCTTTAGCTTGCAAAAGGGCATTTATCTAACTAAATCTTGGAGCTGGAAAGGGTGGGGGGTGAAAATGGTATTGTCAATCAAGAAGGCCATATTTGTTCTTTTTTTTTTCCTGCTGTTGTTGCGTTTGACCAAACAAGATTCCATTGTTGTTCTTCGACCAGATTTGACTAAGGAGCAGTTTCCCGTCCGAGAATCGTCCCGTCGGCTGCCCGGTGGGGAAGTTTTTCGCCATAAGGCGGGTGGTCGGCCCTGAACACGGCGTCGGAGAGGTAGTTGTTGTTACCGGTGTCGATGGTGGAGTCGCCGAAGATGATGACGGCGATGAAGTTGGAAAGCTGCTGGTTCGGGGAACAGTCATAACCATTTCGAGAAATCCCAAGCAGCGGTTGAGGTGGAGGGTTAAAGGAAGCCCAACAATAGATGGCAATTGGGGATTAAAAGAAATTAAGTTTTTTTTTTATTTCAAATAAAAGTGATACTAAGGTGGAAATGAGATGGAAATTTTAAAAAAATTAATTTATTATTTTTAAATTGCCACGTCACACATTTAACGGTCAACTTTTAGAGTTGACCACCATGTAAGCAAAAGTTAACGGAGTTGGACGGAGAGTGACCAAACGTGAACGATTTCGGTAAACTGAAGTACCATCAATGGATTTAAATATTTTGAGTGACCAAACTTGAACGCTTTTTGTAATTTAAGTGACCAACCATGCAATTAACCCAAAAATAAACAATCATATATATATATATGTGCTGATTTGGGGCTTAGGATAGGGTCGGTGACAGTAACCATTGGTTACTGACCTATGAGTAACTAAATCTGGACCTTTAGATCTAAGTGAGTCCAGAAAATTCAGATATAAGGGTTGTCAATTAAAGACATTTTATTTTCCCTAGTTTTCTAATTGACTCTTATCTTCTTCGTTCTAACTCGGATTTCAATTTTTTTGGCATAGATGGAACGAGTTCGTTGTGCTCTACAAAATGAGATCAATTTTCAATATATTTCGAGAAACTTTTTTTTTACCAACTACATACCATATGGTAACTTCTTCGTTTTTAAGTCGTTTTTGAAAACATTTGCTCAGAAAGAAACGAGCTCATCATGATCTATTGGATCTATAAATTTCTGGGTGAAAAAAATACTGGATATAAAATTATCATACTTTACCACTATAGTATTTGGGTGGTAACTTGTAGTAAACAATGATGAAAGTCGTAAATTACAGTTAGTATACTTCTATTATCGTGTATTCAACCTTCTTACCATATTGGTATGTTCATACCATCATGGTACGCTTTCTTACCATACGGAATTAAATAGGAGCATACCATATGGTAATGACTGGTAAAAAATTATTCAAATTTTTTTTTTGTACTAAAAATATATCAAAGTGAATATCATTTTAAAGAACGCATTTAATCTGATTTATCTGTGCAAAAAAAAAATTAAATTTCGACTTAAAGAGAGAGAGAAATCGCAAAGATTAAAGGGGAATAGATAAAAGACTTTCTAGGGGAGAGATGATATTGATGACATGCTGATGTGGACAGGTTACTTATGGTTACTGACCTGATCCGTTCCACTGATTTGGTGCAGTAAATATGGATAGACGGAAGATTAACTAGAATTTAGGATAGAGAGAGGAGAGAGGGTCGCCGAACGGAAAATAGCTATAACCATATTTTAATTAAGTTATTCCACCTGTCTAATTCCCATTGGTTGGGAGCACCAACAAAGCAAAATGAGGTGGTGCACCGGGTGTACTGAAGATTTTCTCGGAGGACTCCCGTCGCCTTGGAAGAGAAAGGAGATAGGGTTCTATTTATTTATCATCAAATTAAAATACTTTTATTTAAATTTTAAAGGAAACATCTCGTCCCTTAAAAAATTTTATATTTTGCTTATAAGAATGATACATCATAAAAAATAAAAACAAAGGTAACAAATCAAATTTATTTATTCCTCTATATATTGTTTCTTACACCAACTCACTTGGGTACATTCATATGACATTCCATAAGTTTTTGTACTCAATTCTTACTTATTCCGTAGAATTATTAATATAATATAACAAGTAAAAGAGACAAAGCGAGAAACAAAACTATACCACAATTATGACGACATGTCAAAAAAAAATTAAATGTGTGTGACATATATTTGGCTTGTGCATAATTTTTGTCTAATCGGTGCGTGGAGGAAATTTGCAGTTACCGTAACCTGAAATACATAATAAATAAAAAAACACCAACAATTAAATTATTAGACTTGTAAACTTTCTGGCTCTCAAACAAAAAAATTCTAGAATATTTTGAATCAATAGTTAGAGGATTAAAAATTTTGTGAAACTCACTAGGATCGGTGGTGACGATCATGCCAATTCCACCCATATAACATGATCGAGCATCTGAGCTGTCGAGTGTTACAAACTCTTGATTCATGACGAAAGAAGCTTGACCTCGCAAATTGGTGGGGTCAAGACAGGGACCTCCTACTTGAAGCGCAGAGCAATCCACTTGTTTATTCTTACAAGCCAAGGCGATCATCAACTTTAATTTGTCATCAACCGTATCTGGCTTTGCCACACACCATCTTGGTTTACCAGGTTCTATTGGTGCATTTGTGTCATTTTCAGCATCTGTGTTTCAAATAAAGGATGAGATTTTCATCTTTCGCTACATTTACCACATATAGGTCATCGAAGCGTATTAATTTTCTTATTACCATCATTTAATTAGTCACATCACGATATTTGGTCATGTATTTATGTCATTTTTAATGTGAATAAATATATGGCTTTTTTGTAAGAAGATATCAAGATCTATTATTATTATGAGAAATTAACATTAAAATTCATGTAAAAGATTAGTTGTAAATTTATTTGATGATATTTGAATCTTTAATTAGAATTTCATTTCATTGATTGAACATTTCAAATTAATAAATTTGATGTTCATAGATTGTCAAAATTGAAGAACTAAAAAAGAGTTGCTCTATAAGCAATTAAAGTAAAACTTTTTAACTTTTACCTTCATTTGGAAAGGCACCAATTCCAAGGAACCAAAGGTGAAAATTTAATTATATCATCCAAACCACCTTAAAATGTCCAAACAAGTAAGGACTTTCTCTAACTCTAACATACCATGACATGAATATTTAACAATTATAATAAACATAATTTGGATGAGAAGTAACACTTACTTGTGAGGCTACAAGTTTGGATAAGCAGGAAAGCAAAAATGAATGATATGGTTGTGAATAAAGACATCTTCAATAGCTAATCTTTGCACTCAATTCACTTATTTTGTTCCGACCTTTCCCTTACTCAACTTCGTTGTTTGTTTATTTGTGCGATAAAATAAAGTATAACATTGGGATATTTATATGCATAAACCCAAAAAAATTGGAATCCGAAAGATATGTATCAATGGCTACGAAGGTTACATGGTTGTTTCATGTATTATTTGCGAAAAAGAGAAAGTCATGCCGCTTCTTAAGTTAGTTGTGACGGGGTAATTTTTTGTGCTTTTTTTATTTTATCGACAAGAAGTTACAAGAATACACGTATGCACACATGAGTCAAATGAAGAAAATTTGAGATTTTACTTATGATTTAAACTTATAGTGAATACACATAATTACCTCTAAATTGAAATAAGTAATTATTTTGTTAATCGATGGATCTTGTATACATGTTGTCACTCACCCATTATATCGTTGGCAGAGCAAAAAAATTGAGTGAGAGAGGCAAAAAAGAAACAAGCTCAAAGTCTTACTAATTATTCTATTTATCAACAAATTTGCAAGTTTATATTTGTATTTTTTTAAGATTCGGAAATGTAAGCCGTCTCAAACTAACTATGGAGCAATACCAGCCTTGGAGCGACCAACCTCGATGCGGAGGAAATATTTCAGAGTGTCCAGGTTCTTCATCCCAAACTAACTACTAAGTGCATCCTTGACCTACTGAATGAAGACTAAATCATTACCCACGAGAATGACATCATCCACATAAATGAGGGCAACAACATAGGTGCCCTGACTGCGACGAACGAATAGAGAGTAATCGGCAATGTAGTCAAAATCTCGATTTTACGATCTTACTTACGAGTTCTGATCCTGATTTAACTACTAAATCTTTGAACCTTAAAATCCCATAAAATCTCCATTTAAAACTTTAAAAATCCTTAAAATCTATGATTTTGTACGATTTCAAGGTTCACGTCAATTAAAGCAAAATCAAGCCGTCCAGGTCGGGTTTTGCCAGCGAACCGAGTCAACTTCACTTTCCCTGACCCAACACATGGACAACACAAACCTAACCTGAAATGCAACCCTCAATTGATTTTCGTTCTCTTTCTCTACCACAAGTCGACACCCAACTCCTTCCATCAATGACTTTCCTCCATCACCCTATTAATTAGATCGTTGTTTGTTCCCCCCATCACCCTTGCAATTAGCCCAATCTCCATCCCCTTGCAAGCTTTTTTCGTCTCCTAAACCTTTAGTGCCACCATCCATGTCCTTCTTTCGATCAGGAAGGGAATGCATCAATCAATGAGTTACCTTTGCAGGATGATGGCGATCAAGGAAATATGGTTGGTGTTGAAGTATAAGTGATCCCGAGAAGAATGATATCATTGCTTAAGCAAAAAGACTAGTAGGATTATATGAGGACGAAAGTGATGGTGAGGGTGACGATGACAATATTGAGGATTTAGATGTTAATGTTGATCCTAATGATCTTATGTTATTTTCTAATCTTAACTATTAACTAGATTAAGTGAGATTTATTAGGTTTCAGGTTGCATACTTTTTTGTTTATCGTATGCACAAGAAAAAAATCTACGGTTTTGTTTGTGTTTATTAAGCAGAGAAGCTTATCTTGAGAATCATTTAAGTGATATGTGGTTGGCTGTTATTCAGCATATGCATTATTATTAGTGTCTGATGTTTTAAGTAATAATTTTAATATGGACCTTAAAATCTTACGGTTTTAAAATTTTAATCTACCATTCCGATTTTACCTCAGTTTTCGATTCTATGTAATCTCGATTTTAAACTTAGCATACCAGTTGCGAGAAGCCTGGTTGAGTCCATAGATAGACTTATGCAAGCGGCATACTCGTGAATCACCAGGAGCTGCAAGACCGAGCGGAATCTGCATGTATACTTCTACATGAAGATCACTATGTAGAAAAGCATTATCAACATCAAGCTGGTGGACAACCCAGCCACGAACTGCATCAACAACAAGCAAACAACGAACACTAACCAGTTTTGCCACGAGAGCGCAAGTGTCATGATAATGAATTCCTTCAATATGAGTAAACACATTGGCAACCAAAAGAGCCTTATATCATTCGATTGAAACATCTGCATTGAACTTAATTTTGTATACCCACCTCGAAGCGGCAACACGCTTATCAGGAGGCAAACTGACAAGGGTCCACGTGCCATTACCAACGAGGGCATCAATCTCGCGTTGCATGGCAATCCTCCATTCTTCATAACGCATAGCCTCACATCAACGAGTCAGCTCAGATTGACTAGAAACCGCGGCCAAAAAACTCTGATGTCGAGGAGAAAAGGTTTCGTATCCCACATAGTTGGCCATCAGATACTGGACGTTGGATGGAAGCAACTAGACATCATTAGTGAGTAGAATACCACAAGGTAGTCTAACAATCCCTATATGAGTAACCTCAGCTTGTTGTCCATTAGGCAAAGTGACAGAGATGTTCTTAACTACTGTACATCTTAAAAACAAATCAATAGTGTCAAGAATCCAAGTAAAGTTTGATTTCACAATGGACATAGCGAGGATACCTGTCATGGAATTGTCTTTTGATGTGATGTAGTTGACATGTGATCCTCCATAGCTGGGTGAGGCAAGTGGTTGCAGTAAAGATTTCAGTTTGATAAGCTCCTCAACAGTAAAACCTAGAAATGAAGGAGAGGTGGAGTCTTGATGACTACCAGGACTGGTAGGATTATAATTACTAGCTCTTCTTGAATTAGTTCCCTCTCCTGAAGTCGCATCAATGGAGCCTGCAAAACCTCTGCCCCTTCCAGCATTACTATTTAGGCCTCTTGGATTATTACCCAGTAGACCATTCTTCCTCTTTAACTTGCAGCAATTCTCCTTCACATGGTTGTCCTTCTTGCAGTAACGACAAAACATTCTTCTTGATGGATTCTCATATTGTCCTTGAACTGACTGTTGTAGCCACCACTTGACCTGACTGTTGTCCTTTGTCCTTCTTGCAAGTGTAGTGGCTAATGCAATAGCCTCTTGTGACTTGCCAACACTTGAATTGGAGCTATTCAATTGTCTCTCTAATTTAGTCACAGATCTAAAACACTATCCAGATCTGGAAGTGGATCTAACATAAGCATCTGGTTCTTAACTTGATGGTATTTTTCATTCAAACCAAGTAGGAAATGGATTACCTTCCCTCGCTCACTACAGGAAATCAGGTTTGTAGTCACGGGATCTTATTCACGGGACTTTTTCCCGTACTTAGAAGTATGTTAATAGTCATGGGAAAAATTACCGTATTTGATTGTATAGTTCTAATCACGGGAATTAATTTGCCTGTTTTTTAGTCTCCCTTTCCCGTGATTAATTATTAGTCACGGTAAATTACCGTGAATAATGTTACAATTTACCTTTAAAATTTTAGGTGAAACTAACATACCGTTTAGTATAAATGAATCCCATAAGTTTTGGGGAATTCATTTTGAAATTAAAAATTTTCGTGTTTAGTATTTGAAATAATTCATTTTCAATTTAAAATTTTGAATTCGACGAAATTGGAACTAGTTATAGCAATTCCGAGAAATTAAGATGAAATTTCCAAATGAATTCCACAAGTATTTTCTAATTATAATAAAATGGCATAAGTATCCTCATATATTAACTAAATTACTTCTACATGTATTATTTGGGGCTTGCTGTATGAGGAACATCGACAATAATTTTACTGCAACGCTAGTAGCATATGTTGGTTATTTGATATTTATGCTTCGATTATATCAATACGTTGATAAGCCACAAGAACACTTTTGATATTCTACTTATGGGATCAAAAAGTATTTTAGAATATGGATTTAATGAATATTGTTTCTGCCAGAAATTAATAGAGTGTAGTTGGAAACTTCTAGTTTAAATCAATTCTAAATGTATGTCAAACATGGTTTGAGAATTAAATTTATTTTATTTCTAAAGATTTGAATTTAACATATCAAATACATGAATTCATTTGATAATGAATTCGACACGATAATTCATTTTAAAATGAAATGAATTCTCGATTTATTTGATACCAAATGGAAAGTAAGAAGGATTTGAAAAGAAAGAATTTTGGAACACAAAGCAATAAAGTTTGACTCATTGTTCTAAAAAAAATTATAGATTCAATACATTTTTGGACTTTGCTACGGTGACATGCATGTCACGGTGACATGCACTTTTCGGTCGACCTCATATAGGATCAGGTCGACCTAATCTGTTGTTTCAGTGTAAAAACAGTTTCATGGTGCTTACTTTGGAGATTCCTATCTTACAATTGGCTAGATGGAAATTGGAGATTAAAGGCTTGTTTTGAAGCTGAAGTGTCCCTCTACACATTAAAGTACTTGGGAGCTCAATAGAAAGTCCAGAAGACCATTTTTGAATCTGATCAAAAGGCTATGCCAAAACTGGGAAACTGCCTGAAAATGGCTAAGTCTGGCAACGTGTTTGTCAAGCCTACTTTGGAGCTCAATTTGAGAAGCATGGATATGCGAGTCAAGTCCAGCGGCCTCTACCACGTTAAATTACGTATTTTTTTTATACAAAGGCAAGTCATTGGATGAAAGATTGAATATCTTTAAGGCTTCAAACAAAAGGCTCGAAATTGCTACGAAGGCTGTTTTTCTGGCAGCTTGCTTGTGCTCGAAGTCTGCCATAAAAACAGCCTTCGTAGCAACTTCGACCCTTTTGTTTGAAGCCTTACAAATATCTAATCTTTCATCCAATGCCTTGAATTTGTATAAAAGCATACCTAATTTAACGTGGTAGAGGCTCCTGGACTCGACTCGCATTCATGCTTATCGAATTGAGCTCCAAAATAAGCTTCACAAACACGTTTCCAGACTTAGCCATTTCCAGGCACTTTCCCAGTTTTGGCATAACCTTTTGATGAGGTTCAAAAATGGTCTTCTGGACTTCCTATCGAGCTCTCAATCTCTTCAATATGTAGAGGGACACACCAGCTTCAAAACAAGTAATTAGTCTTCAATTTCCATCTAGCCA